CTGATGTATGTATCTACATATGTATCCCTATAGGTATATATATGTGTATAGGTGTCAGTATGTATCATTATATCTAGCCGTAACCATAACCCTAATGCTGATATATGAATCTACATATGTATCCCTATAGGTATATATATATATATATATATATATATATATGTGCAGATCAATTCTTTTTTTCTAAATTCTACTTGTGGTTCAATTGTAAAAAATGATATATAAAAACATTAAAGCAAATAGTAATGATTTCAACATGTCACACGTTAAAAAGACAACTTTAAACAGAGGCTCATTTTCCATAGTGTGGGAATAATTTTTTTTTAAACCAACCACACCTTTGTCATAACCTCTAAAATCTTCCGGACCCTTTGCAACACCTTTAAAAAAATATTTTAAAAAAAAAAATTAAAAGCTAAAAAAATCAACACTTAAATCTATCCGCTGTGCTCGACTGACGTGAACTTCTTGGCGAAGCTGCTGTATTTAGAGAACGTTCTTTTAATTGTAACTGTGCAAAGTTAGAACAATCCGCACCAACCATCCTACCCCCTTTCCCCACGCCCCACAAGGCTTGCCAACTCAAAAAAAGAAAATAACAACTTCAAAAGTGTAACGCCCAGTCAGTGGCGTAGCTAGGAATTTGGGTGGATTTGGGGGCCCGGGGGGGGCCTTGGCCTCTTTAGGGGCCCCTGCATTTTGACATTCGACATTATTTAATGTAAAAAAAAATTTGGACACGCCTTTGGGGGCCCCCTTCAAGTGGGGGCCCGGGGGGCTTTCAAATTTGGACCCCCTCCTCCCCTAGCTACGCCACTGCGCCCATTGCAAAAAAACTTTGTTTTTACGGATATGCACCATTTTAAGGAAAAAATCTTTAAAAATAAACCCATGAAGTCACACACAGAGAAGGAACAAAACAAAACAGAAACGAATGTTCGTCGTACGACTTTGTTTTGTTTTGGCTTAATGGAAATGTCCTAGATGAATCGTGCTTGGTACTATTTTGTAACCTTATTTTATGGTGGGGAATTCTTATCAGTGGCGAAATTCTTCTGATTGTGATCCTACGGGGTAGCACGCTCGTCAGATAACCTCACGCAACTTAAGCTCACTCGGCAACTCTGTTTACAAATTAATTTTAAAATAATATATGTTTTAATTTGTACGTTCTTGCTTTGACTATCGAATCAATGGTTTTGTTTTTTTTTTTTTTTTTTTTTTTTTTTTTTTTTTTTTTTTTTATTCGATTCTTTAGTTTATACCAAAGTTTAAAATGTGGTCATTGCCAGTTTGCATTGGTTGCATGAGATTGGGGGTCTATTAGTTGTTTGTTGTTGTATGTTTTACTATAGGGCCCCAATTATTCATTTAACAACGAAATTTCCCGAGCGACTGGAGCATGCACGCTTTAATGAGGTCCACGAAAAATGACTCTATATCTAGTGGTGGTTTCCTGAAGCACAGTAGTCACCTCCCAATGCATCCGGAACCGAATGTGGCTATTTGAAGGAATAGATGAATCTCTCTTTCACTTTCTCTCTCTCTCTCTCTTTCACTCTCTCTTTCACTCTCTTTCTCTTTCTCTCTCTCTATTCATCTCTCGTTCTCTTTCTTTCTCTCTCTGTCTCTCTCTCTCTACATCTATATCTATAATGATGAACTATACACCCTTACATGCTGTTTCCAAAATATTTTCTTAGCATTTACAAATAGATTTTCGGTTGAACCAATAGCCCCACCCGCTCCCCCCCCCCACCCGAAAAAAATATAATGTGTTTCATTAAAAAAATGTCTTAATTTCAAACAGAAAACTATACGTTAAACACTGACACAAATTGTAATTAATATCATGCGCACACACAACGCCATACACCACGTAACACAAATACTCCGTACTTTTGACGGAACAATACTTGCGTTTAATTGGAGCCGGATTTGCACACAGCTTAGGGCGTCCTCTCGTAATAAAATCTCTTTCACCAATTGACATATGGAGGAGAGGGGGGGGGGTCAGAAA